TCTCCACCTTTTTTGTGTCCCCCCTCCCCCAATCTTTCCTTTCTGTCCCCCCTCCCCCCAGGCGGAGAGGCGGCCTCCGCCTAGGTCCGAAACTTTCAGAGATAAATCGAGGGAAAGTTTAGAAGAAGGTGAGTACCACGAACCCCCCACCCCGCCCCCAAAGCGAGGAGCCCCCCAGCTCTGCGGGGCGACCTGCCGAAGGAAGCCCAGTGCGGCCCCAGGGGCGCGCTGCTGTGCAGCTGGGCCGGCTGCACAACTTTGCCTGGGGGTGGGGGGTGGGGGAGACACTTTCTAAACAAAGTTTTTTCCCCCCTATCTCTTTTTTTATCCCCCCCCTTTTCACCCCTTCTCTCTCTCTTTCTGCCCCGCCATGTTAGCTGCGAAAAGGCAAGATGGAGGGTTGTTTAAGGGCCCACCATACCCTGGTTATCCTTTTATAATGATCCCAGACCTGACCAGCCCGTACCTCCCCAATGGATCGCTCTCTCCAACTGCAAGAACAGTAAGTGGCGCATCTACATCTCTGTATTTTAAACGATCGTTCACTGCTAGGATTGTACATTTCCTTCCTCCCCCCCTCCCCCCAGCTCTAAGCCCCCTGCATGTCCTCCCCCCCGTCCCCCTAGTCAGAAACTTTCCAAACTTTCATGGCTTTTGCAGAATGGGATTTGTTTACACTTCGCCATATTTTTTTTTCTTTTTTACTTTCAGTTTTGCGTGGAGGTCTTTTCACCTCTCGATTCTCCCTTCTTTCAAAAAATTATAAATCCCAGGCTGTGTTTTGGTTTCTTTTCTCATCAGCTGAATCTCCAATCTGATTTCTACAAAACTCTTTATTTGCCATGGTGAATGATCTGTTTTCTTCTGCCCTCTTCAGTGGCGTCTTGGTCTCTTCCCCCCTCCTTTTTTTTTAACCTCCCCCTTAACCCTTTCCTTGCTGCAGAAGCTCTCTCAGATACTGATGTACCGATGTCACCAAGTTATATAGTTTCTTATCCTGTTTTGTAAAGACTAGAACGTTGTTGTTTTTTTTAAATTCCATTGCAAGTTGTCTGGCCTTTTCACTTTGGTTCAGCAATTTCTCTCTTTTTCTCTGTGTGTTTATGGCAAGTGTTTATACTCTTTTGGGGAACGGGAAGGTTATTGACATTTAATTGCAAACTCACATGCTTGATTAGTTTAAACTGAACAAACCTTGATCAGGGAGATGAATCCATCTCTTGAACGCTCACAGAAAAAGCCCATCCTTACCCGGAGCTAAACACACTGCTCTTATTTTGCAAGGGGAGAAAGACCTGAAGGAGTTCTTTCTTTATTTGTGTGTGGCTAAACTGAGTCCTGAAAGGAGTTAGAGCAGAGCACAGACCAGGACTGATACAATAAACAGAAACTGCCTTTTAAAAAATGAATACATTAAACAAACCCCCCACTTGGAAGTGCATTCTAGAAATAATAATCTTGCTGAAAATATGTGTGTTTGTGGATGAAGGGCCAGATTTTCTGGGTAAAAGAGAGAGTCTGTATGGAGGAGGAGGGAAGTAACTGTAGTTCAGATAGTGGGGTTCAATTAAACTTTGGGGTGTGATGGGGGTAGGGTTTGTCTCTTGCTGCTGTTTCTCCTTTGATGCTTTGTAGTATCACTAACTGTGCTGTATATCCCTATGTAACACACATCAAGACTAATTTTTTTTAAAGGAGGGGTTTTTAATTATGAATGGTAAACCCATGGGGAGTACAAAATGCTAAGAAGTGTTTGTTTACACTTGCCCAAGGTTGTCATTTTGCATTCTTTAGGTGCTTTTAAATCTGAAGGGTCCCCCACCATCACCATGTATCTATTTACACATTTTTTTGTAACATGAGAGAGCAATTTGAAATAACAGATCTACTGTTCAGTAGATGTTGAATCTGTGCTAATGGATTAAGTCTTGGACGATTCCAGTTTATCAGATCTACAAGTGTTTCAAAGCGTTAAAATATTAAACATCAGGTCAGGCTTGTTTTCACTCAGTAAAGTGGCAGTAGCAACCTAGATTAGTAAATATAGAGGGATCGAAATATGAAAAAAATATTTTTCTAGTTTTGCATGTATTTAAAGACGTGGGAGTATTTTACTTATTTTATTATGGTTATTATCTTGTAAGGCTGCTTTTCAAGCGCCATGATTTCTCAGACTGTGGAAGAGGGTGACTGCAGTTTGTAATTTTAATGATTGGGGAGGGGAAAAGCATGGGCTGAATGCATTATATTTTGCTTCAAATATGGTTATGTATGTATTTTGTGTGTGCATGGCTTTTTAAAAAAAAAATTTAAAATTCTGTAAGCGTTAGGTTCAAGATCTCAGAGTATTGCCCCAAAATTACTTTGTTCCAAATAGTTTTATATTGCAGTTTTTAAAAAAACTTAACATGCTTTCAGTATTCCAAGAATAGTTAGCTTAATTGAGGTATCACATTCGTTTTTTGTGTTCTGATTTTTTTTCAAAAATATTTTTGTTACAACAGACATAATTCCTGATTACATTTATTTGTCACCTTCTTTTTTCTCGTTAGAACCTAAAGATATGGATCATTTAGTAGTTACCTTTAATGGAAATATTCCTCCTCTTCTCCCTACATTTAAAAAGGCCTTCATAAGAATGTTCTATTTGTATGAATTAAAGGTGTTGTATAAAAGATTACATGTTATTTTATTGTTGACATAGCAGGTGGCCTTGTAGTGTGTTATCAGATGGATTCTAAAAGGGATATTTCCACTCTCAGTAGGCAATTTTATTATTTGCACATCAGGAACCACAAACCTTTTCATATCTTCACCTTTTTTTCTTTCACATTCTGTATGTCTCCGTGTTTGCTTACCACTTAATTATGGGCTGAAAAAATTAAAGTTATTCATTTAGGCCTGAAAGCAGAATAATTTAAAGATTAAGCAGGATAGATGTTGTCTGACATACTGTATGTTCTAGGTGTATTCTTGACATCTACTAAACCAGCTTTGAATCCCAAACCAGCTAGATTTTAGTTTTAAATGCAAGTTGGAAATGTATAGAAAATTCTGCATAGTTATTATTTAATATATAAAAAATACATCTTGTGTAGACTTCTAATACCCTATCCGTTACATTTTCAGAGAATATAAGGTAAAAAGGTGATGTAGTTGTGTAGCATATATTTTTTCTTTTTTGTTGCTGCTGTTGTGGTTTGTTCATTTATTTTGGTTTAGCAGAATTGTTGTTAATTTTAAATGTATCTGCAGCTGTCTGTTGTTCAAAAGCAAACTCCTGAGAACACTGATTTCTTCTTTTCTGTTTTAAGAACGTAAAGAATTATGAAGTATCATTAAATCTGCTTATGATGAATAATACATTATCTCAAGAATAATGCTTTAATTGTTGAAGACTCCATAAAGCTTGATAGTAATAATTTTATTTTAAAATGACAAAGATTTTTCTGTATAATGTTAATTTTGTTTTTGATAGAGTAATGTTGGATGGCTTTTAAGAATACAGATACGCATTAAGGAGAGATCTAGTCAAATAGAAATGTAGTAATGTATCTGAGAATCTCTGTCTCGCATATACTTGAAGAGGGACTGAGGTAGCTGGCTATTAGGAATAATAAAGGAAATAGTTTGCATTTCAAAGTTTAAAAACAAAGAAGTTGTATTTAATTTGAAACCCGCATTTAGTGTTTTAATTCATGTTTTCAACCAGCAAATAGAAATATTTTGTTAAGAATATTTACCAGCAGATTTTTCATATTTTTATCAGTGCTGTTGCATCTTCCTTTGCCCTAAATTGTTTGCTTTCCAAGTGAGAGATTTGTTACTAGATTGCACATAAGGCAGCATCTTGTGTTCGTTTCTGAATTTTGAATGCTTGGAACAGCAAAATATGAGAGCAGCCCATTCACTAAGGTTTTACCTTCAGTAAAGGAAACTTTAAAAATAAATAAATAACAGACTTGAAAAATGGATGTTTTCCTTTATCTACTGAATCAAACATAATCCTTTCTAATACAAAAGAGGTAGACGCCGAAGTGTGAAGGGTTAATGGTGGTCCTTTTTTCCCCCTTGAATTGTTTTGACAACACTTTTCAAAGTGTGACATTCCAAGCCCCCTGCAATACAATGTAATATTACTGTAATTACACAGGTCATTACATTTTAAATAGAGAACAATAAAATGCTTATCGGTACTGAAAAAGAACAGGTGTTCTTGCCCTTCTTTTGGTATTTATGCTAATTGTTTTTCATCTCCTTCAGAAATATTTATGGCTAGGCATGTTAAGATTTCAGTTTCGATATGATAGTATTAATTCTGTACTAATCTTAATGGTTGAGGTTTAATGTCTGCAATATGGATTATGGTATTAACATCCACCAACTAGTTTAATAATGTAGATATAACTTAATATGTCAGCACTTTAGTGCTCTATGATACTTAGCATTCAGTGATGTGCATTATTCATTTTTTTTTTAAATGGACATGTTTTTAATAAAGTTTCTGGAATTGTGTAGAAACATGCTATTATATAAGAATTGATGGTCCTGTGGTATAAATTGGTTGGAACGTACAATATGAAACTTCTGAATGCTTAAGTAGGTAGATTGTTAATTCTGCAGCAGAGTGAATCAGTGTTGGTGGGATACAATGGTAAATAGTCTGGATTCTGTTAATTTTTTTCCATAAAGAATCTGAATGTCCCTGATATAATTTCATTTTAGAGAAAATGCACCATTGGTTGGTCAGCCAGTTTCTCTCTGAAGGGGCTATGAAAAATAGTTATAGCAAAGTTTCATGTTTCTGGAAGCTTGCAAAACAATATAATACAGTACTGTTACTTGAGTGTACAGGATAATTGCAGTACTGCACTTCATTAAAAATAATATTTGCTTTGGAAATTGAACATTTTAATAGGTGCACCAGTGGCTGATCTGTACTTGAAAAATTACAGTAGATGCCTTTCCAGCTTTTGAATGTATTCATACATTAACTGGTGTTGGATTTTTTTTCTATTCTTTTCTCTCTTTTTGCTTTTGCTTTTTGTTTTCTTCAAACACAAAAATATATGTAGGTTAATCAGTTAAAAAATATGGTGCAGCTTTCACTGAAGATTGTAAACCAGAGTTCAGGTAAAAAAGTGTTTTACATTTGTCAGATTTTCATGACTGGGTTTCAAAATCAGATTAAAAATGCCTTGTAGAGAAAGGACAGCTGCAGATTTTTTGGGTGGACGTGAGTTTCTATGCCATGACTAAAACTCTGAGGACCTTTTCCCAGCTGTCTGGGAGTTATGTGGAAGTTGGATTATTGGCAGTTAAGCATGAGACAACCTGGATTTAGCAAATGCTCTCCTACACAGGAAGTAGATGACATTATAGTGGGGGAAGGGAGGAGATTCTTGTGCAGACAGAAGCAGGCAAGAAATAATATGCTTCTTCCCACCATCTCCTCGCCCCTCCCAACTTCAAAACAAGTGCTTGCTTATATATAAAATGTAT